CCCAGTGAAAAATGCAGCCCCCTGAGCATCAGATGTGCTGTTGGGCCCCCAAAGGCCAGCCTTTGAAAGTCCTCATCTCTCAAGCAACCGCCTAAGCGAGATCCACACGTTGACTGAATCTTCTATTGAGTCCAAATGAAGAACAGAATGAAAACACCACCCGTTTCAAGAGACCTTCCGGTTTCCTCATACACATATCTGAAGCCAACAGCAAGCCATCCCAAATCCTGCGGGATTTCATCTACAATAACCCACCAACCATGCAGTGCCTGCGAGCCAGCCCGTGGGCTTGCAGGGTTCCTGCTCTTAAATCAACAAAGGCAGCCATGACATTTGCTTTGGACTGGAGTCAATGTCTAGCTGGGATCCAGTGAAGGGCAAGGCCTAACTGAACAAACAGCACCGTGCGGTTTCCAACTCAGCGGCCGGGGCAGGAGGACTCGGGTTTGTGGCAGTTCTGGCGTGTGGCGTAATTCACCACCACCAAAGACGGCTGCGATTCTTCTGTGTAGGTTATTCTCCTTGAATGGATCCAGTCAAGGGCTCCTCCAGAGTCTGTGCCAGGGAAGCCCCATTGCACAAGAGATGACTATCCCCCAAACTGGTTTGGGGGCCCCAAGCTACGTGTCTAAGTTCAAGCAGCTGAAGGTCTGATTGCCATCATGGTCCCTCTGCCACCAACTTACACTGTCCCCCAGGGAGGGGGAGAGACATCTAGGCATGGGAAGTGTTACGCGAAGCCCTTCAGCACCCCACCGTCTGGAAAATGAGCCCCTGTTCTTAGGATGGTGGCAAATCCCTGGGGCTCCTTGGGGGTCCAGGAAAGCCCTGCATGTCCCTGGTATGAAAATGAAAAGTCAAGGTTACAGACCATTCCGTGGCCCAGCGTGAGCACGTCGGGGCAAGTCCCTGGCGCTATGCTGTCTGCAGCCCAAGGGAACTATCCGAAGGGAAACTGGAAATCTGTCCGTGTGCTCAGCTGCCATGATTGCTGAGGACCCGGGCCTCGAATCGGTACCTTTCAGCTCGACCCCGAGCTGAGAATCCGCCTTTCCAGGCCTGGGAGATTGAGCCAGCGTCTACAGCTAAACAAGATCCCCAAGGGACACCCCGATTCCCCCCACCCCCACCCCACTGCTCCCAGCCTAGGAGCACCTGGGACCATGTTGGGAATGTCGTATTTGGGATGGAAAGGCAAAATTCTCAGCAGAGGTTCAAAGCCCTGTGGGAAATGCAGCTTACACAAACTAAACTAGTGGTGATCTATGGAGCCCTGGTGGCAGAGTGGTTATGTGTTAGCCTGCTAACCGCAAGGCCAGCAGTTCAAAACCACCAGCTGCTCCTCAGGAGAAAGACAAGGCTTTCTACTCCTGTAAAGAGTTACCGTCTCGGACACTCACAGGGCAGTTCTCCCCTGTCCTGTAGGGCCACTATGTGTCGGCAATGATTCCACTGCAGGGAGTCTGAGGAACGTTCTGACTGGGCATATGAATTCCTATGTCAAGTCCAATTGCAGCCAATTGAGTGTATACATACCATATATGAAAACCCCAGGCCAAAAAAGGTTCACTCAGATACCCAATTTTTCAATCAATTCCTACAGCAGCAAATAATTGGAACCTGTCATGGTTGGAGATTTATTTTTCTGATGGAGGTGGTAGTGGAGGAGGTAAAGTAGAAAGTAGACAAGTGCTGTTGTTAAATAAGAATTATCTACACACCGATCTGTGTGATCACAAGGTGTCAATGGGATCAGGTATTAGGCATCAGAGGACCCAAAACAAACAATATCAATGCAAATGAGGGGGGTCGGGGAGGAAACCCAATGACCATCATTTGTAGACAACTGGACATCCCCTTACAGAAGGGTCACAAGGAAGAGACCAGTCAGCCAGGGTGCAGTATAGCACCAAAGAAACACAACACACAACATTCTTGTAGTTTTTTTAATGCTTCCCCCACCCCTCCCACTATCGTGACCCCAGTTCTACCTTACAAATCCAGCTAGACCAGAACATGTACATTGGCACAGATAATGGCTTCCGACACACGAATCCAGGACAGATAAAACCCTCAGAAACAGTCATGGAGTAGCGGGGGAACGTCAGGGGAAGGTGGGGGGAGAAATGGAAAGCCAATCACAGTGATTGACATATAACCCCTGACCCCCGGAGGATGAACAACAGAAGTATGGTGAAGGGAGACAGTGGACGGTGTAAGATATGAAAATAATAATAACATAATTTATCAAGGGGTCACGAGGGTGGGAGGGGGAAAAAAGGAGCTGATACCAAGGGCTCAAGTAGAAAGAAAAATGTTTTAAAAAGGATGATGGCAACATATGTACAGATGTGCTTGATACAACTGATGTATGGGTTGCTATAAAAGCCCCCAATAAAATGATTTTTTTAAAAAGAATTATCTACAAACAAGTGTATTATGGCAGAATTGCTACCTGCCTCTGCCAGATGCTGCCCAGCTGTATTATAAACGTTATACACATTGAAATATGGCTCGAGTTGGGCTACCCGACTGGGCAGACTTTCCCAGTTTGCACCCGCCTGATGGAAGGTTCTTAGAAAAATGTCTACTTCCTGCTGGCCTGGCCCACCAAACCACCTTCCTCCCTCCCATTAGCTGAAGAATCGATTCCAGCCCATATGGCTCCAGTGTTTTCTCATATAACCCAGAACAAACAGCAGGGTCCGTTTAGGGCTATGTGCAATTGTGGAATGAAGAGGACCGGAGAGGTCACCTTCGTCAGCCCTGCCCTCTTACAGGGGAGGAGATGCCGGCCCAGAGAGGGGATGTGACTCAACCAAGGTACCACAGACAGTTAACTGGAGACTGGGGGCTGGAGCTCAAGTCTCCGCCTCCCATCTGGCTCTCTGGCCCCTGCCCCACACTGTAATTTCATGACCTTCAATCATGGCTCCCAGAGAAACATACGCTGAAATTACTCCTGCCCGCATCTCCCCTCCATCGGCCCTGTGTGCTGAGAGCAGGGCTGGAGCTGCTGGGGGAGACCAGAAAGCATTTGGAGGTGCTCTGGAGACACCCAATATCCCTAAAAGGCACTCTCAATTATACAGGGTGGAGTCTTTCACCTGTCCTGGATGGAAACCCCTCAGCTCCCACTGCACAGCTAAGTGGGTGGGAATAATACCACAGAACACTTCAGCCACCAGGAAAAAAATAGAAATAAAAAACATTCCTATAATATACACTCATCCAGTCCAGTTCTAATGGTTATAAAAAAGCACACACACACAACATTGCCCTTTGATGATGATGATGATGCAGTAGTCGCTGCCAATTCCTTTGATGACTCGAGTTGTTCTTTTCATCCCAGTGCCAAGGAAACGCATCTTACCGATCAGCACGGGGCAGCCCCTTTGAGCAGCCCGGCTCTTGTAACTAGCCACTATGAACTGCCGGGCTCCCCATCGCAGGGGAGGACTGCTTCGTTCCGTCAGGTGAGATGCTCACTAAAAGGAGGGAGGTGCTCACAAAAAGGAGCTGAAGGCTGCCTTTTTGATGTGGGCAAAGGCAAGAACTCTTATGCCATCCGATTCCTGTAATTTCAGCCTAAATTTCCTGTGCTGAAATTACAGAAACCGCATGATAAGAGTTCTTTCCTTATTCCTTAGGAGCCCTGGTGGCGTACTGGTTACAAATTGGGCTGCTAATGCAGGGTCAGCAGTTCAAAACCACCAGCTGATCCTCCGAGGAAGACGGGGGTTTTGGACACTCCCAGGGCCAGGTCTCCTCTGTCCTATAGGGCGGCTCTGAGTCGGCTTCAACTCCGTGGCAGTTTGTTTTTCTATTTGCTGGGCTTTTCTGAGAGGCCAATAGAAGCAGTCGGTACAATGATCACACGTAGGCCAGGACAGGAAAGTGAGGGGGTGGGTCAGAGGGGGTGCCGGTTATGAGAAAGCGGCAGCCACAGAGGGACTGGCCAAGACCGGGCGGCGCTGCTTTCGCCAGCTTATCACGGTAGACAGGAAACAGAAGCAGGGGAGAATTACCAACATGGAGATACTGAGCCTTCGGGGTCAGGAGAGAAGCCCTCCTGGGCAGCCAAGAGAACGAAAGTTCCTCCTGAGGAAAGAAAAATGGGGGCCCGGGGCTGGGACGTGAAAGGAGCCACACTCCAGCCCTGAATGGCTTCCATTTCCCCCGCGCCACTCCTCCTACAACCACCTTCTCCTCGGGGGTCCAGGCCCACCCTGCACTTCACCTAATCCTGCCACCAACTTCTCCAGATCGGAAAAGTGGATTATTCCTCCGGGGTTGGAATGCTGGGCCCCAGCAACATCTCTCTAAAAAGCTAAAAAAAAAAAAAAAACAAAAACCAAGGGAAATGCCAAGAATCTCAGAAACAAGAGCTAGCTACTTATTGCCGAGCTGCTTCAGGTGCACTGGTGGGCACTATAGGGTGGAGCAGACTGGCCCCATAGGGCTTCTGGGCTGTAATCCTTACGAAAGCAGAGGACCGTCAGGCCTTTCCTCTGCGGAGCCACTGGGTGGATTTGAACAGCCAACCCTTCCGTTAGCAGCTGAGTGCTTCACTCTGGTACCAGTAAGGCTCCTTACATGAGTCTTCGAGAAAAAAAACACACAAACGCACTGCCACAGCCTCCATGCCGACTCACAGTGACCCCTTAGGGCAGGGTAGAACTGCCCCTATGGATTTCCGAAACAAACTCTTTTACGGGAGTAGCAAGCCCTATGTGTCTTCTGCCGAGCAGCTGGTGGTTTCAAACTGCTGACCCTGCAGTTAGTAGCCCAACGTGTAACCACTATGCCACCAGGGCGGCTCTACATAAGTCTTAGGGGTGATCATTTAAAGTTAAACATGTATGGTAGGTGAAGATAGGAGAAAGACAACAAGATTTAAAAGCTGGTTACACTCCTCGTCTCTTGCTTTTCCAGGCAGACAGAAATAATACCACAGCTGGCAGGGACAGACAGTCTGGGATAATTAAGATGAGAAAGGAGTGCTTGCCTCGACGGCACATATACTAAAATTGGCACGATACAGAGAAGATTGGCATGCCCCCTGTGCAAACAGGATACGCAAATTCGTGAAGCGTTCCATATTTTAAAAGAAAAGATTGAAAAAGAAAAGAGTCTGGCACGTGGCATTTATGAAGACCTGCTCAAAGATTGTCGCCAAAGGCGTGACCACGCTTTGTGCTCTGGAACGGTGTTTCCATCGCCTGGGAATTTCCTCGTGTGGAACAGCCATGTTCTGACAGTGTGGGTGGACAAGCGTCGAGGCCGTGCAGGGGCAGAATACGGTGAAAGGTTAGATTCTGAGCTGACTGCCTCAGTTTAAATCCCGGCTTGGCCATTGTAGGCTGTGTGGCTTTGGGAGTTACTTATCTTCTCACCTGTAGAATCAGGACGGTCACAGCACCACCTCAAAGGGCAATTCAAAAACCACACCCAACCCACTGTTGTTGAGTTGATTCCAACTTACCAGGACCCTACAGACAGAGTCAAACTGCCTATCAAGTCTCTAAGACTAAATCCTTACAGAAGCAGCTTGCCACAGCTGGAGCCACCAGTGGGGTAGAACCATAACCATGGTGTCCCCAGGGCTCCTCTTCCCAAGGACTCCTGGGAGGCTTCAGTGTGTTCGACTACACAAAGCTCTCGGAACTGGGTCTCCTATTCGGTAAGCGCCGCCTGCTGCACGGAGTGCACCGAGTCAGCCCTACCTCACAGCGAGCCCACCCACGTCATCAGAAAATGACTGTCTGGGACGCCCACAGTTCTACTCTCTCCTCTCAGGCTGCCAGGAGTCGGAAATGACTTGATGGCAGTGGGTTTGGTGGGGGATGCAAATCCTGACAAAAGACCTCTGCTCCCTGCCCCCAGGGTGCTTATCAGCTGTGAGAGGACCTTAGTCACCAAACAGGCACACCAAGGACTGACACCCTGCACAAGTGCCCAGACCCTGGGTGTTGGCAGTGCAGCAGGAGAAGCACCTCTGGTCTGCGGTTGGGGTGAGGCGGGAGGGCTCAGAGCAGTGGGGAAGCTTTTCCTGAAGCGGGAACGTGTGCGCTCAGAAGGCACATGCAGGAAGGAAGAGGACTGCCCGGGGAGATGCCAGCCTGTGCCAAAGCTGAACAGAAGGCAGGTGCTGAGTCTGAGCACCTGGCAGGCAGTGTGGCTCAGGGGAGAGTGGGGTAAGGTGGGGCCAGGGAAGCAGACAGAAACCTGGGGTGCCCTACAGATTACAGTGTGGGCCATAAAACCCACTGTTTTATGTTTGACAGGTCTTGCTTGCTAGCGTGCAGCCCACAGAAAGGGTAGGATGGTGTGCAGTTGTTGCTATTGGGCAAGGCCAGTCTGCAGGGCAAAGACCACTCCAAGATACACCCGCCGTGGTTACAAGCTGTGCTTGCACCCTCAGTGGGACTTCTCTTGTGTCCACTCTATTCCAAGACCTGACGGTGCCCTCACTGGCTTACAGCCGAGCATGAACATAGCACGCCAAAACTGGATGGGAGGGTGCAGTAAGATGAGGCTGTTTCTGCAGGGAACGTGGCCCAGGAGACACATCACCCCGAGTCTCCTGCTCTTGGAGGGGCTGCTCTGTGCTGACACCACACCTGGCATCAAAGATCTCTCTGAAGGCCCAAGGAGCTGAACCTGCCCCGCTTCCACCATGCCCACCCACTTCTAATCCCCCCAACGCTGAAACCAGTTCTACTTTTACTGCAGCGGGCGGGAATCTTGGCGTTCAACCTGAAAGAATGAAAGAAGTGTCCGGGCCACAGTGTCACATGACTCAAGATGGTTGGCAAGGATTGAGAGCATGTATCCATCCCTTCCAGGACCTCCCTGCTTCATACTTTTCGTCCTGTTGGCCGACTCTCATTCCAAAGCCCACTCTGCTATATACAAGGCTCTGGAGCCATAGTTCCTGGTGTCCAGGGATTTACCATCCAGCAGAGAACAGTGCACCACCAGGAAAAAGGTGGCAAGTCCCACAACAGACTGTGCCGCCGGAGTGAAGACTAGGCAGCATCCCTGGTCCCGGCCCATAGCAGTCCCTCAAACCTCCTCTTCTGGATTCTGAGCGCACCCTGCCCGGCTCAGCCAGAGCCAGCTCACTCCTCACTAACTACCTGGGGCCCATGTAACTCCAAACCTGTTAAGTATCCTTTACAACTTCAAGTTAAACAAGCAAACAGCTATTCCCATGAGTCTGGCAAAAGTACAACTGATGTTCGGAGGCAAATGACACTGGTAGGAGATGAGATGGGACAAATGATATGGCTTCTGGTTTGGGCTCTGGGCAAGTCACGACATTTCCCTAGGCACCCACTTCTGATTCTGCAGAGTAAGATGGGGTTGGAAGACGCCCTGTAGCTCTGAAGGGTGATGATTTATGGTTTACCAGGCCCTCATCTCTCCTTAGGCTTTGCAGTGGATTCTTCTACCTCCAACCAACCAAAACATGCCCCTGATCCACATAAAGAATGAAAGGGTTTGGAAGCTCTAATGCTTCTGGATGAAGTCATTCCCAGTCCTGATCCCGCCACATCCCAGAGTCTCCACTTATCTTGCAATATTGCAACACTTGACATTAGTAATAATTTGACTCACTTTAAAGCTTAGGGAGGAGAAAGGAAATACCACGGAAATCAACTAATATGAGCAGCCACCTAAGGAGTGACTACTGATCTCTCCACAAGAACAGAGAAAATCAGAGATGCGAGGGAACGATGGAGACCAGAGGGCTAAGGGGCCATGAGAACCCCAGCTTTCAGGACCCCGAGACCGGAAGTTTTAGACCAGCAGTTCTCAGCCTGAGGATCGAACTTTGGAGGTCGACCCACTCTTTCACAGGGGTCGCCTAAGACCACCAGAGAACACATATTTCCCATGGTCTTTGGAACCGAGACATCCCTCCTTTATCCGTCTCCGGGTGGGTCCGCCCACATGCAGATACGCCCACCTATGAGTACCTGGCATGAAGACTGTTACCCATGCTACACCATGCTTCAAAACAAAATTTCATTTATTTGTCATTAGGAAGTAATCTTTCACAATATATAATATTGTTTTTGTGATGAATCACTAGGCTTTAATTATGTTCAATTTGCAACAATGAAAATACATCCTGCATATCAGATATTTGTATTATGATTGATCACAGTAGCAAAATTACAATAATGAAGTAGCAACAAAATAGTTTTATGGTTGGGGGTCACCATAACATGAGGAACTGTATTAAAGGATCGCACACAGCATTAGGAAGGTTGATAACCACTGTTCTAGATGGTGACCAACTGTGTTAGTCTGGGTACTATAGAGAAACAAATCCACAGAAACTCATGTATAAGAGGAAGTTTTATATAAAGGTTAAGTGTACATCAAGAAAACATCCCCACCCAGTGCTCCCCAAACCCACAAGTCCAACATTAACCCATATGTCCGACACCAATCCAGAAAGTCCTCCTCCATCTCACAAAACACACAGTAATGCCGACTGCAGGAGGAAAGCCGACTCAGAGAATGTGTAAGCATCTCAGCGCTGGCAAGGGTCTCCACATGGGTGCTCCAGCACCCAGGGCTGCATCGGGGTAGGTCCATGCGGCTTCTCCCTGGGGATGTCTTGCAGGAAGTGAGCCTTGCCAGCTGAAGCAGAGAACTGGCTAAGGCAGCCGCACCCTGGTCTGACCATCACAAAGCAAGAGACCCGAGAACTAGAAAGGCCAGGTTCTTGGAGCCATTTATCCGTCTGCCCTTCAATTAACCCCACACGTGTTTATGGGCCAGGTTGGCACAATAAACTTTTAACTGTCTCACCAACTATCCCTGCAGCCCACCCTGAAAAGGATTGCAACAGGTGATCTCAAGCAGAGTGTGAGAAACATGTGAAGATTAAACCCAGAAAAAAAGAAAAGAAAAAAAAGACCATGGCCTGGAAATCAACTCACGCCTGCGGCTCCGTGGCCAGTCAAAATGACAGACAGGCCTGGAAGGTGAACGATCACACCGGGTGGAACCCACTCCTGGCACAGCCAGCCATACCCGTTACAAAGGGCAGCCTGACACTGTGGGGCTTGCCATCAAGGTCAGGAATCAAAATGGGTACAGGCTGTTGACCGGAAAACGAATTTGCCCTATAGACTCACCCCATCACAAGAAGAAAAGACATTGTTTATTTTTAAGGAAATCAACTAAGCTATGTATGTGATGAGTGACTTGCTCCCAAGTACACAAACTCGACAAACTCTAAAACCCTGGCCTACGTCAAAACGGGAATCCCTATTGCTCTGCCAGCCACAATCAGATAAGTGTTTGAACTACACCCACTCACTTTGAGCCGACGTTTCCAAGTACCGAACCATCAGATTACCACGACTTAGGTTGGTTTAGAAGTGACTGTGGTTTGGTTCCCAGTGTGCTGAGTATCAAAACTACAGATAAATTCACTGATCACTGCTGTGTGGAAAGGAAACCGTTTTCTGCTTTGCAAAACCAGACCATGCTGGGTGCGATATGAACCCCAACAGAAGAGCAGGATGGTGTCACCGGGTTGCTCGGGCGTAGTGAGACCTTACCGGTTGGATAGTCACCACACCTGGTTTTGCCAGATTCTTGGAGCGATGTGAACCTGAGTTATTCTGGAAATGTTATAGATAACTTCTACAACGAACACAACAACAACAAAGACCGGTTAATTCTGCGTAATACAAATACAACACCACAGGATCTGGCAGCTGAGCCCTCCCAAGAATCAAAGAAATGCTGGCTCAGTTCCCTGCAGCTTGTGTGGGGGTTTCTCAGACTTCCCTGATACAATTTTAAACTTTTCTCATGGCACAAATGATCACCCAAAATCAACAAGCCAGCCTCAGTTAAAACCCCGTATATGCCAGGAGGTTTGGACACACGCTAGGAGCCTCCCACATGGGCCCTCCAAAAGATCACACCAGAAACCCATTGGAGCACGGCTCTGCACCGGACAGCCGGGAGGGCCCCGGCATCACGGTTAGGACACCGGCTGCAACTTCATCGTAGTCCTGGTCTCTAGCTAGTGGGAGCTTCCTCAATGTTTCCCATCATAAGCACCAGCTGTTTAGTGAAGCAGAGCGATTCGTGTCTCAAACTGTAACACCTGCACTGTTTATACCTGCAACAGGCCTAGCAAAAGCAGTGTGGATCTATAGATGTAAATAAAGATACTTAAATCTAAAATATATATACAGTACCGTATACACTCGAGTTTTAAGCCGACCCAAATAGCAGCTGACACACCTAATTTTACCACAAAAACTGCATACAAAATGTGCTGAAAAACTCAGCTTATACATGAGTATATACAGTAAATGTATGTATGGATGTATATAAAATGAGCTATTTGAGTTACAAAGGAGCTGCAGGAAGGATTTCCATCATAAGTTGGGGGACAAGCTGCGGCTGAAGGCTACTGAGTGAAGCAGGGCTCTCTCCTTCACCAACGTCCCAAGCACCTCAAACAGTGCTGGGCACCTACAATGCGCTCAGTAAAATTGCCCAATGAATGGCTGGACGGAGGAACCAGTAGGAAGGTGACATCCATCACACAGGAGCTAGGAAGCTGAGTTTCGAAGCACAGCAGCCCTTCCACGCTAGGCTGCCCAGGTGAGTACAAAACTGTCTCTGGAAGGAGGCAGCTGGGAGCCAGTCTCTTTGCCCTAAATGGTGTTCCTAATTTGGAAGATCATTTGGAAATATGACCACCGTAGAGATCATCTAGTTCCATAGCCTTGTTTTACAGCTCAGGGCGCAGAAGGGGAAATCACTTACCGTATGTACTCCTGTATAAGCCAAGTTTTTCAGCACATTTTTTAAATGCAGTTTTTGTGGTAAAACTAGGTGTCTCAGCTGATATTCGGGTCGGCTTATACTCTAGTATTAGGTATTTGACCTAAGTCTCACTTTAGTACAGGACCCCTGAGAAAATGATGTGGGGGCAGCAACTGGCCTCATCTGACTTCACCGAGAGGAAGGAAAAACCAAACTTTGCATCAGCCCAAGGGCTAGTAAGGCAGAGGTCAGACGGACCTCCACCCACCAGCATTCTTTACCAATTCTGACACCAGTTGTCCCTCCCATGGCACACTCTACTCCGCTACTCACAGACAGTAGTGTATCATGATCACGAGGCCTGTTGGGGAAGTTAACAGATTAGATATTAGGATCAGAAATGCTCAGAATACAGTTCTTCAGTCAGGAATGCCAGGCTCACAGGTGGGCCTCTCTCTGGTCCTCAGCCTTTCAGCCTCTGCCGATGTTACAAGGCCCTCTTAGCATTGCCAATGAATGTCCAAGGGCATTACACTCCGTCAGTAGCATCAGCTTGAAAGCTTTCAACTCTAGCTCTGTGAGGAAGCAAACTTAGGTCCCCCCCTCCTCCTCCCTCCCTAAATAATGCCTGGAGGCAACTCAGCCTGCACCTGGGCCTCTCGCCCAAAAGGCGCTCCGGCTGTTTGTTCTGTGCACCAGGAAGCCTGCCGCTCCGTCATGTGTTCTTGGTGCGGCTGCAGCTCCTCTGGTTTCTCGGCTGTCTCTGGATCAAGGAGGCCCAGTGCTCGGGGACCTGGGAGTCCAAAGGATGTGCTGTTTCTGTCTCTGACTACTTCATGGTGGCAAGATTCCTCCTTTTCCGCTTCTGAGATGGCTCAGTTTAAGTCCACCGGGAAGGCAAAACTGACCAGTCCCCGCATGAGAGTTCCACACACCCTTTTTGCATGGTCCCACCCAGTCACTGGGTAGAACGTAGTACAGGGCGATGGCTAGAAGGGCCATATCGAATAATTCAATTCACCGCACCACATCCCCTCGTCTCCAACTCCCCCCCTCACCCTTTACTGAAGGAAAACATTTTCAGTCACATGCGTGGGTCCAGACATGTATGGAAACCACATCCTGCACCTAGTTGACACTGCATTTTAACATTGCTCAGAGGAAGGATGCTCCGATAATGCAGTCCGCTGACTGCAGGAGGGCTTGGGGCATGGACAGTGAGCAACCAGTAACCTACCAGGGCACCAGAGCTGCTTTCTCTTGCTACAGAGGCTTGGTTTTTTTGTTTGTTTGTTTTTGTTTTTTTAAATAGAAGGTTCTCGTACAAGGTCAATTTTATCCAACAGAATTCTAAGAAGGAAAGAGGAAAATGATATTGTTTAGACGTCTTACATCTACGTAGAGAAGGCAAAAATAGCTAGTAAAGAAATAGGACTGGGTAACTCAACTCTAAACATGTCCATGTTCCAACAACTCAGTACAATTTGAACAGAAGGCCAGTTATAAGTTAAAACTGATAACAAAAGCAATCTTAGCAGTCAGCGCTCCAAGGAAAAAAATACCACTGGTCTCGAATTACTTCCTGCTCCTGCTGACAGAGCCTCATCAGACAATGGAATATATGGTAGAGAAAGACAACACTTCACACTAAGTTCTCTCTTTCTAGTTCTGCCACTCACCAGCAGCCTTGTCAACCTGAACCTCTCTGTGCGGTGAGCCAAAAGCCCTGCGGGCCTGGCTCAGTGCCATGTAGCTGTACTGGGCGGCCCGCTGCCATCCCTTCCATCCGGCTTAAAACCCGGGCATTGGTCAGGCTAAGGCCTGACTTAGCACAAGGGGTGCTGGTGGCGTGGTGGGTTCCATGTTGGGTTGCTAACGGCAAGGTTGGTAGTTCAAACCCACCAGTGGCTCTGCGGAAAGACAAGGCTCTCTACTCCCGTGAAGAGTAACAGTCTCGGAGCCCCACAGGGCAGTTCTACTCTGGCCTATAGGGTGGCTGTGGGTTGGGATCAACTCGAAACAGCACGTTTGGTTGGGTCGGTTACTCATCACTGTGACTCTTGACCTGCCCGCGCTTTTGCATCACCCTGGACTTGAAATACATCATTTCCATTCTGACCCACAAGGACCCTATAGGACAGACTGGCCCATGGTGTTTCCAAGGCTGTCAATCTTTACAGAAGCAGGAAGAGGCCGGTGGGCTGGAACAGCTGACCTGATTAGCAGTTGAGTTCTTTAACCTTCTGCCAGCCCCCATTGTCCCCAGCATCTCTCTACATCCCTCACCCCCTCAGTCAGATCTGACTCAATTCACTGGGCATGGGCTCCAAGGGGCCCAAAGTTGTCTCCAGGGGACTACTCTGAGCTGGCGCTGGGCAGCACTGCCCTGAGGAGCACCTTTGCTGGCAGTCACAGCTGTGGCCTGTGGGCCAGGTGTTTCTCCCTCTTGCAGGCCTTCAGGGGCCCCAGCCCATTTGCTTCAAGAGAAAATGGATCCAATTTAGCGTGATCAACAAGTTCCTCGGACCCCACCGGAGATCAATGGCAATTGTCAGAGATCTGACAGCACCTTTTGTTCAGAAAATGTCGGGAAAAATGTGGTTTCCATGACAAACGCTTTGGCGGCCCAGACACATCATTATTCCTTCATCTGAACCGGGGCGGGGGTAATTCACTAGAGAAAGGAGTGGTTTTGAATTATAATTATAAATTAGTCTACTAATGAAGGAAGTCATGTTTAATACATGAGATAACTCAGATCAAGGTTCATTTCTTAACAGTGAAACATCATGCAGAGTGAAAAATGAAACTGACACAGATAACTCGGAGGCCATTTATCTCCCAACAATCTCATCTCATTCCTGATCTGAGGAGCCCCTCGCATGGGCATGGCACACCTGGTCGTGTCCACCCCAGCAAGTAGCCTAGGGGGAAAAGCAAACCAAGAGACTTCACGGCCACTGAGTCGATCCTGACTCACAGTAATCCCCTGGGCAGAGTAGAACTGCCCCTATGACTTTCTGGGACGAACTCCTCACAGGAGTCGAAAGTAGAAGGCCTTGTCTTTCTCCTTTGGAGCTGGCTGGTGGTTTTGAACTGCTGGCCTTGCAGTTAGCAGCCCAATATGGAATCACTACACCACCAGGGTTCCTGTAAGTAGTCTAGAAGCCCCTCTAAGTCTGTAGGAAGAAACACTGCTGGTGACGTGCCATGGACGAACACAAAACATAGATAGCTAAGCCACATCTTCCCTACAATAAAACCTTACTGCCTTGAAGGTAAACAGCCCCTGTTATACTGGCCCTAATTCATTTCAAGGTGGAGTCCAAGTCATATCTGCCGAGTGGTCCACTACAAAGGGTACTGCCACCTGCACCAAGGAGGCAAAGACTGCCTAGTTAGACAGCATCCCCGCCCTTAACTAGACAAACCCACAAGGGAGGTGAGACACACTCGCCCACAGCACTCTCCCTGGTTCCTTCCTCTCTTCCTCTCCCCCCCACTGCCTCCGCTCTCCTGCTGGGACCATTCTCAGCTAAGCCAAGTCCCTCCATCATGCCCCAGATCTCGGGCACTCACTCCTAGGACCACAGGCCCACTTCCTGGGACAGGAACGACTTTGACCCTGGGGACCTGAGCAGAGGCCGGTTGCCCCGGAACCACCCAAATAACTGGAGTCCCGTCTTTGCAGGGCTGCTCAGTAGCGACTATGCCTGGACGAGGGAAGGCAAGCCTGGTTAGAGACTTCTGAGGCTGGAACTTTCGGTTTAGCTATTTCAGAATGACTGGCGGACGAGATAACTGGAAGGCCTGCACCTGCTCGGGTATTATTAGACCTCGGGCAGAGACCAGCTTCAGCTGTGAATCAGGTGTTACGAGCCTTTGCTCATGCTCCCCATGTTCTCTGAACTTGGATCCAGTCTTGGCAATGGTCTCTCTCACCGATGGGGTGGGGACAGCTTGGTAGGGGCAGGGGCAGCTTGGAGGGAGGGCAGCTTGAGGGGAGGGCAGCACTCTTTCTAGCCCGCAGCTGCATCCTTCCACTTCTGAAACAAGGGGTAGGAGGCCACGATTCTTAAGGGTAAGAATAGGAGGGCCGGGTGACTTCAGCATGTTACGGACGCTTACAAGAAAAGTCTAAGGTCCCAGTCCTTCCTTGCAACTTGGCTTGGTCACCTCCTCAGGGTGCACGTGAGGTAGCTGACTGATGTGTTCTCAACAAACACCTCGGAACATAAGCACTGGGGAGGGGCTGTGCTCCAAAGGGAAACAGGCTCAGGTTCCAGGTTCAGTACTGCAAGGGACACATGAAGTTAGACAAGTCAACCAGCCCTCTCCGGCCTCAACTTCCTCACATGTCTGATTTTGCTACTTGGGAGGGGAGACCCACTGCTCCAGAGTCCACTCTGACACTCAACAATCCTATAGGGCTGAGGGGAACCGCCCATGGGGTTTGGGTTCAGAGGTGACACAACTTTAGGGAAGCATTGGCACATCTTCCTCCTGTGGAGTGGCTCGTGGGTACCAACTCCAGTGAGCAGCCCGGTGATCAGCCCACTGGCCCGCGAGGGCTCCTTTGAAGGGCAGGGAGGGTGGTATATGCCCCAAGTCCATCCTCAACGATTCTGGGCTGCTCCCTACTGCTAACTGAGGGTGCAACAGTCGGGGAACCATCGAGACTTCGGGGACACTCAGCTCCCTTCTAGCCGCCTGGCAGACTCTGGGAGGCTACCCACTTATTCCCCTCTGCTTCCACTGCTCCAAGCAGCTCTGCATTCCTTTGGAAAGTCCCTTCAAGGAAGATCCCCTAAGTGATAGAAACTCCTGCTGCTCATTTGCAGATAGCTTAAGTTTTATAAACAATCGAAAATCAAGTGTCTCCGGCAAGTTGTGTAACCAGGCTGAGTAGTAACAATTTTGGTCAAAACTGCAGTCAGCAGTGCGACCATTGAAGAGCTGTCTTTAACCAAAGACTGAGAAGAATTGGGTAATATGTTAAGCTGTGTAAAGGATAGTGAAATTAAAAAAAAAAATAGGGTTAGTTTTTTTGCTTTAAAGTGGTATTATTAAATGAGTTACATTTTCAAAAAGAAATAACTGAAGCATTAAACACACACACAATTTGTATGACATGCAAACTGACCCCTGAAATAAGCCCATCACCCTGCCGCAGATTCTGGCTCACAAAGCCTTGAAGGACGGAGTGGAAAGACCGGCTCCCTGAGGTTCCAGAGCCTGTACGTCTTTCGGCATCTTTCTCCCAGAGAGCAGCTGTTCTTTTGTCAGCAGACCAACGCTCACACCGCAGCACCCCTGAGGGCTCCTTACTGAAGGGGTGATGATTTGGGAAAGGAATGTTGATTTGGATGAATCCACGTCCAGGTATGTTTGTGGGAAAACTAAACCCAGAGTGCTGGCGTCATCGTCCGAGTCGAGCCGTCGTCTTTTGAGGAACAACAGCTGGGCTGACAAGCCCTGTGTTTCTGAGAACTGGGGCTCCAACCGAAAAGCCAATCAGTCAACTCTTGGTTTACTACGAGATGTGAGGCAAAAACCTACATGGCTCCAGAACCTCTTCCGGAAAGAATCTTGTCTGCGGTGGGCAGGCTGCCCTGAAAACCAAACTGCACCGAAGGGCTGCAAGGTCGTTGCTCGTGGTCACCACCTAGGAGGGGACTTCAAAAAAAAAAATTCCTGGACAGTTTCATTATCTTGTCGTTCTACTTTTCCTCAAACTTTGTGAAGCCCCTCGTCCGCAAGAAAGTTGCTGGGCAACCATTGCAGGCCCAAGCCTCCTGCAGACAGACAGACAGACAGACAGACAGACAGACAGACAGACAGACGGTCTGACAGAGAGGAGATCCGGATGAAGCAGGCTCTCTTCAGCTTTGGGTTCAGGGTGTGACTCGACAGAACAACACCGAAACGTCCCCGTTTCACTTGACATAAGACGCACATGGCTGAAGACAAAACAGCTTCCCTTAAGATGGCCAGCAAACATC